GGGCGGGTTGCATTTGTTTTTGCTGTTTGGGCGGAAGTCGTGTGTGTTTTTTTTGCTGTTTGGGCGGGGCACGGGAGTTCAATCACTTACCGGTCTGCCTGGCTCGTCTTTAAGGGGCCCAACAACAAAAAAAACACGGGTTCCCTGAAAGAGCATCTCATATTGAAGCCAGCTACAGATGGCTAATTACTCTGCCCGTGGCTTGTTTACATAGAACTCCCATAACACCCCCGCAAATTTGATAAGAGTGGTATGGAAGGCCTGTGGGAGACAACTTGCCTGTGAACTACCCACCTGTATTGGGCTTCGCAAACAATATCACAACCACCTACACCACTGAAACTGTTTGAGCAATCGCGGCTTGAGAAACTGAGGCTCTCGGCCAGCTATCAACATGCACGCTGCATCAGAAAGCCACACTTGTCAAAGCTACAAAACCAGAAAATTGGCTAAAGAAGACTTGCTTGACAGGTGGCCGGAATTATGCCACACCAAGAAGGCGTGGTATTGAGAAATTGGGCCGCTCCTTCATTAGATTGAAGTCTTCCGCTGTACTTGACACATGCTTGCAGCAAGCAAAAGCTATCATAGCAACATGTGGGAGAATCGAGCTCGGCTATGATCTGCTCTGTGCTTTGAGCACGTTCTCAATGCAACCTGTGATATCTTGATATGAGCAAAAGGTTATGGAAAGGTGTTAGTCGCGATGCCGAATTTGAGGGTGAAGCAGCGGTAATGCCAACCGTTGAGGCCATAAATGTGGCTGCACATTGTTTTACCCCTAATTTTTTGAAGAACAAATACGCAGTAGCACACAGGTCAATAGCACCTCAAAAAAGTATGAGCAGCCCACATAGAAATGCCAACGGGTGCTGTCAGCCTCAGTAATGCTGTCAGAAAACGCTGAGCACGTTTTCCATCCCCAAGGCATGCTCAATGTCGATGGTTTCTATCACCGCACACTGCCCAAAAGGTTCATGAGTTCATTGCGGTCAATAAGACATTTCTAGATAGGTCCCTTCGATTAGCAATGTTGCACTGACTTTGGTGCAGAGACCTTGAATAATGTGTGTTGGCCGCCGCTTACTCAATTTTAGGCCAATGTTGGGAAGACCTTGGATCATGTGCTTTGGTTTTGGGGCCCTACAAAAAAGAGGGAAGTGCAAATTTTCAGGCCCCAAGGAAAGGATTTCAGAAGGCAGCCATTTTAAAATCCTGTCCCAGCTCAGCCCAGCGATATCCAGAATCCAAATAATACTTACCAAATCTTGAATCTGAAGATAGTAAAAGTGAGTTGATCAGAAGTCCTCTTCAAAAGCTTACGAATCCTAGCCGAAATCATTTGGGCAAAGCGGGTAGTCCAGAACACTCCAGGACTCTGAATAATTACCGTTGCTTGGAGACCTTCTTTCATCTGTCGTCCCTGTGCGCGTGCAGGTTTGAGGCCCCAAGAAAAGGACTGGAAAGGCAGCCCTGTTAAAATCCTTTCCCAGCTCAGCCCTCAGAGATATCCAGAATCCAAATACCTGCCAAATCTTGAACCTGAAGAGCTTTATTAAAAGAACTTTTGGAAAAATGCGAATCCCAGACCAAGACCATTCCTTTTTTAATCAATCCCCAGAACCCCTAGAATTGCAGGAAGTTCTGAGTTCTGAAGCCGTTATTGAGGACACCTGATTTCTAGTTTTCTCGACCCGCGTAGAGTTTGAATAGAGGGCAACATGAAATGCGATCCTGGCCCTTTTCCAAACATACCGAAAGAATGACCCTGCAATCTAAATGAGATGTTTTGGTGAATCAGAAGGGGTGATCAGACAAGAGCAAGCAGCCAAAGAACAGCAGGAGAAACATGCCTGCCGTCAATTACCACACGTGTGGTTGTTTCCCAGTCTCACGAGATTGTTGTGTCACGCTACCAAGCAAGGTAGACAAAATGTTGCAATGTTATGCAAACTTCGTGGCTGTTCTTCGGACAGCAGACAAGACAAGCGTATGCGGGTTCATCAGCGGCATGGACACAAGTCGGGCTGGAAAAAAAGAAACACTACTCAAATCCCAAAGCCCCAAACTGCCAACCACCGCAGCGAAAAAATGTCAACGTTTACAAGGGAAATTCACTTGCTCCACACGGGAAACCTGCGCTTTGCGGGGCCTACAGTATCAAGTGGAGTTCAATGCTCTAGCGTGATAGTTCCTCGGGTCTGACAAGCCATGTGGATTGTTTTTATAAACAAGCTTGAGACGGTTCTTGGCGGCCACGAGTTATCACGAAATATTTCTCCAACACATTGTCATCATGCAGCGTGGCCGAACAAATGCTGGCCCAGCGATTCCCGAGACCATGATTTGTGCTCAAAGGCATGGCCTGATAGGCATGACACTGGCTAGCAATTGTCGATCAAATATGGAAGGGACGCGGGCGCGCATCTTTACTGACCAGGTAAATGACTTGGATGGGACATATAGACGTTGGGATGATTTTTGAAGCAGCAGAGTATGTCTCAGTCCGGCATGCGTCTAGGCAGCAAGCAGTGAGTGAAGCACGCCGAAGCGGCATCAAACGCCGAATGGAGAACACTGCAGCATGAATTAACGCTCGTTCAGGATCCACCAGGACGGCCTTGTCGTGAAACGATGTAAATGGGGGCGGGAGCGCACGTGACATGCTTTGGGAAATGGCTGTGGTTGCGGAGAGGACTCCATAGGCAAATCTCTGAGCCCCGTGCTTCTCGGCGGTCCTTGCAAACAGCCAGGACTGCCAAAGTTGAACGAAAAATCTATTGGATGATTTCCCACGACAAGCAGCAAGCAGCAAGAACACGCATGTTACACTTCAGGTGGTGAGTTGACCAATTGCAGACATGGGTTTCGTCAAGCCAAACCAACTCCAAAATCCGACTCCTCACTAGGAGCCGCTGCCACCAGCGACATGGTGACCCGGAGCAGCGGGTCCTTCTGCAGTCACCCAGCAGTCGCTCCAGCTTTCAAGATGTAAAATGGAACCGGTCATTGAAGGTCTTCGTCAGAGAGTACTGCGCAGAGACCGCGACTCCCATTCCTGCAGATCACGCTTTTCAATTTCTGCACGACCATCTCTGGCTTCAGGCAGCAAAGTGCCCCGCCTCCCAGTGCAGCCACGCCCAAGCGCCCGCAGCAAGCGGTGTCCACAACGGTTGCCAAGGGCTCTGTGAGGAGCTGTGCGAAGGCCTCGCATTCACTGTCTCTTCCTTCCCTACTGCTCAGCTGCCCTGTCCCCGCCGGCAAAGCGATGCCGACGAAGCGCCGGTCAAGCTGCCGTCGGGCTTCGGCTTCTCCCTCATCAGCCTTGGTCTCTGCGCGAAGGATGAGCCTGGCCGAAGTTGCACATCACCTTGCCCATGCAATCCCATGCGCCTTGCCTCCCTCGAGCTGCGCAAGCAGAAGCCACTGCGAGTGCCGCACCCGGACTTCGTCGTTCCTCTCCCAACCAAAGCCATGTCATCACTCTGGGGCTCTTGGTTGGCACGCCTGCTCCTCGAAGAGGTTTCGCGCCGGCTTCTTTGGCTCGGCGCGGGAAGCACCGCAAAATGCAGGTACCCTGTGCGAAAGGGCGCAAGCAGGCTCCATCCCCCGGAAGCCCTTCTCTTGGAACCTTGCAACTCACATTTACATTTTTTGCCAGTCCGGGGATTGAATGAAATGACATTCGGTAGAAGCGTGCATCTTTCCGCCCTCATGTTCCATCTAAACTCTTTGGAAAAGGAGTTTGACACGGACAGCACCTGCTGCGAGCCCAATAATCAACCAAGCAAGACATGATGCACACCTGTCTCTGGCACGAACATGAGCGCAGTGTCTTCACGCTGCGTTTAAGTCCTGCGCCCTTTGAATGAAGTCCAGCTGGCCATCCTTACTGCACTCATGAGCGGGGAGACTTCTGAGAAGGAAGGCCGCGCGCATTCTTGGGTTGCAAGTCGCAGGCCTGTTTTGTGACGCAAGCAACTAGACAAGGAGTGCCAGAAACGATCTCCGTGAGAAACTGTCTTGAGTCAGCGGTAGGGCCAACCAGTGCATGGCCTCTTTGGGCAAGGTGCCTCTGCTAAAAGCCCGAGACCATTATGACCTACTGAGTGCATCCGACGAGTTGGCCAAAGGACATACCTTAATTGGCACGCAGCCTCACTCCAAACGGCGGATGGGTCGGCCTGGCAGATCTCCACAGATCTCGGCCCAAGCAACGCGTCCCCACCCTGCACTCGGCCTCTGCTCGAGCCTTGGTCGCGGCGGCCTCTTGAGCGGCTTCGAGAGTGCCTGCGAAACAACTAGGACACAACATCTCTTTCCGCGCAGCACATGCATGAAACTTTTCTCCGCAAAGCTCCAGATGAAGCGGAGCACCTCTGCCAAGCTCACTACGCTATCTGGCTCAGGATAGGCTAGAGTAAGGGATGGGCTGTGCAGGCGACAGAGAGTCAATGCTTCACCAGACAGGGCCATCAAGCCAGCACCAAAGCAATTCAAAGGGCCCAGGGATGCAGCGGCAGCGCGCATGGTGCTGCTGAGCCGCGTGGAGCCAGGGCGTATTGTCAGTAGCAGCGTACGGAAGGCCGTCTTTGGGTCCTCCTTCGGATCCTCCTTTAGCTCAAGCATCACGTGGCTGTCAGGAATCAGGCTCAGCAGGCAAGAAGGAAAATGGTTGCACAGCGACACGAACAGGCCGAGAGCGTAGTGAGCTGCAAGCACCAGCAGCCATGAACCCATAAAGCAGCTGTAGAACATGAAGAGCGATGGCAGCAGGAAGACGACCATCGACAACAAGATAACTCCAATAAGCAGCTGGTTCAGGTCGAAGTGATGGTGGTCAATACGGAATCGGAGTACGTTGTGCTTTCGGCCCTGGAACAGCAAGCTCAGCGTGTACAGCGACTGTGTGGCCGTCTTCCAGCAGAGGCAAGTACCCAGGTATGCTACAAAGAGAGGCAGCGAGGCAATTGCAAGGAGGTCCATTGCACATGCCAGCAACGTGGACAGGCCTGACAGACCTGCGATAACACAACAAATGCGCAGAACATGGGCAACGGCCGGTGTGTGCAGCATCTGCAGGGCATGCAGCGCCAAGCGGCTCCAAAGCGAGAACAGTGACAGGAACAGGTCGCCTACGAAGGACGTGAGTTCTCGATTCAGCTTAAAGTCTGCAGGCGCGCCCATGAGCCAGGTCACAAGATCCACGAGCTTTTCTTCATAGGCCCAACGATGAAGCCGGGCCAGTAGCAACAGAAGGTCCAGCGAGTCCAGTGTACAAAAGTTGCTCCTGTAGCTCCAAAGAAGCCACGAAATAAGAATTATAGCAGCACCCAGGAAGGCATCCATGAGCGCTGACGAGATCAGTGCCACGAGGGCCAATCGTTCAGCCCGGCTTGGCGCTCGTGCACAGCTCTGAAAACAAATCATCAAGAGCGACTGCAGCTGCAAGCGGATGTGCAGCTGGCTAATTGCCGCACTCCTCTCCAAGAAACTGTAGCACACGAGCCATCGGTAAAGGCCTAGCATCACTCTGCTCAAGCGGCCAGAAACGGCACACGCACTCGCTGCACAGCAGAAAAGGCAGGCAGCTCTCGCATGCAACCGCTGCTCGACTTGGAGGGATTCCGACATAAGTGGCGCAGCGTCCAACAGGGGCAGGATAGATTCAAGCAGTGCTGGCCGCAGGGCCCCTGTGGGAAGCGCATCAATCCACTGCGGCCACGCACCTAGAATCACTTTCGCTAGGGGCCCTCGTTGAGCTGGCACCTGGTAAAGCACCACCTGCGCTGAGGTGAGAGTGAGCGGGGTCTTCTTGCTGCTTTCAAGGCGAATTGGCAGAGGTCGCCCTGTTTGCCCACTGCAATCACTGCAACACAACATCCAAAGCCCAGGAGGCCTTCTACGGTGAAGCCCCGCCTGGTCTTTCTCGGCGAAGGGCAAAATCTCCCCGAGGATCCTAGCCGGGTGGCTCGTCATGGGATCGTGTGCCTTCAGCCGAGCCTCTGCGTCAGCAAGCGTGGGCACTACGCAAGCAACGAGGGCCTGTGAGCAGTCATCTGACTGCGATACTTGGCCCTCCTCTGTCAGCCACCACCCCACGAGTATTCCACACTGGTCTGCCGTGCTGGGCCAGAACAGCCGGAAGAGCATGCGAACACTATCAATCAGCAGCGGGTGGCGGCTAAGAGTCTCCAGCAAGCTTCCTTTGGGTTCTGCAAAAAGCACTTGCTGAATAGTGTCTAGACTCGAGCCTGAGGTCGCAGCGGCACAATCTTGACATGGCTGCACCGTTGCTGTTTACAGTTTACAGCAACTGGCGGCTGCATGTGTCAGTGCTGATGACCTCTTCCCTGGGACATAGTGCTAATGGTCACACTCTCGCCAACTACGCCCCATGATTACAAAGCGAGAACAGCACAACCTTGCGCAGTGCCTTTGCTCCCTGTGTCGCGATTTCTCCTGCAGAAAACTATGTGGGCTGTTTCACATGCAACCTCTGGCTTTGGAATTTGAATGAAAACTGCCGCTACAATCCACCAGAAGCTGGTCCTCCCTTGCCTCCCTGCCACTCGTTTGCCTCACGATGCTGCCCGGCAAGGCAGAGTTGCGAGGCTACTGAAGCTGGGATCTAATCCAACCAAGCTGCGAGTTCTGCTTGGAGGCGTCTGTGCTAGCTGCTGTTGCTGCTGTTGGCTCTCTGTGTTCTGGCTTTTGCTCAGGTGGGGCACTTGGCCTGCCTGGCACGGCTGCAGTAGGGTCAGAGGTCTCGTGAGATTGCGCTGCTGGCTGCGGCAGTGCCTTAGATCAGCACCAACTGCTGGCACCGCAATGACTTTCAGCAACTCACCAGTTACGTCTCTCAGCAGGGACCCCAGCAAATATCATTCATCAGCCGAACCTGTCAACAACTCAAGCCATTTATAACATGGCGTTCCCTTCAGCTGACTTGCAGAAAATGCAAAAAAAGCTGCGGCTGCAGCTTCAGAGTCGTGCTGTGCTTTGTCTTCTGCTTGTCGTGCTCGCTTGGGCTCCGGCTCTTGTGCCTCTTGCCTTGCTGGCTGCTGTTCTATCTGAAATGCTCGCTCCTTCAATCCTGGCGAGGACTCTGAGAGCGCTGGCGCTTGTTTAGGGGGTGGCGGTGGCGGTGCATTCTCTGTTCGCACCTTCGGTGGCGGTGGTGGTGGGGTCGGTGGTGTCCTTGCCTGTTGTTCTGGCAGGGGAGGTTGTTGCGGTGGGGTTGGCGGAGGGCCTGCAGGAGGCTGTGGCGGCGCTGGTCCATGCAAGGCTTCATGCATTTGCCTCTCTGCCAGGTTTGCCAACACGTGCTGGGCTGTCGCCAGCGCTTCTAGTTCCAAAACCTTCTGTGGCTGCTGCATGCTTGCATTCACCTGCATCTGCGCTTGCATTTGCGCTTGCATCTGCTGCGCTTGCATCTGCTGCGCTTGCATCTGCTGCGCTTGCATCTGTTGCGCTTGCATCTGCAGCGCTTGCATCTGCAGCGCTTGCATCTGCCTCTGCGCCTGCATCTGCATCATCGCTTGTACCTGCTGCGCCTGGGACTGTGCTGCGCCCATTTGCGCCTGCAGCTGGTCAGGTTTGGCTCTCTTGCTGGTGGCACTTTCACCCAAGCCGGCCTGAGCGTTTGGGGTCTGGCGCGGCGGTGTTCGAGGCCTGCGAGGTGGCGTACGAGGTCTGCGAGGTGGTGTCTGGGGCCTGGCAAAGGTGGCTGAGGCACTGTTCAGCTCAGACCACTGCTACGCAACTTCCACCTCTGCCGCCCTAGCTCAGCTTGTTGTGGCGGTTGCTGCCTGCCAGCTTCACCCCAGCCATCCGAGAGAGAATGGGAAGAAAGAGAGACAGAGAGAGGGGGGCACCAAACACCCTTCAATGCTCGGGTTCCAACGTTTGCTGCTGCTGGTGCAGCTGCAGCATCTTCACGGCCGACATCCTCATGCCATAACGTTTTTGAAGGATCATCCAAACACCATGACTCTTCTCTCCAACTACCGTCCACACGTTGGAGAAATTCCACTGTTGTGGTTCTGGCAATTGTCATGTTTCTTGACATGTGCGCTTCCTTGTCAAACCGTATTCTTCTCAGGCACGTCTGCCGAACGTGGCAGCGTGTGAACGGGAAAAACACACAAGCAAAACCAGCGAGTGTTCTAGCAAGAAAATAATCCAAACGCAACATGATCACAACCATTTTCCTTCAGCCAAATTTGGGGTAAACGTGTTCGTCTGATAACCCTGCTACTACTTTTTTTAATGTAAAACATGCCACAGGGCCAGGTTTTGCTTTCGATAATCACAGAAGATCACCGTAAATCGCTGCGTGATCTGCTTTGAGGCACTTTGTTGCTGCTTCCGGGGCAATGCTTGGACAAACGAGACAGCTAAAATTCCCTGCAAAAAACACACGTGATCCTGAAAAGAAGTAATCTCACTTCCTTCTGCGATCAGGGCTTCTATCAACATTGCTCGGCAGTCTGCAGCCGAGAGGCTGCTCTGATTGGCTTGGCTGTCGCGTTGCGGCTGCCCTGGTTCCAGATGCTTTTCTAATCCACAAGAAGGTCTGTCTAGGGCACTGCCCCCGCTCCAGATCCAAAACACCGAGAATGGGCTAGGCATGCTTGTTTAACATCATTTCTATAGTTGGGCTGTTGGCACTACATATACTTCAAAAAGGGTATGTGCTCGTAAAGAAAGCCATGCATGCAACACCCATGCTCATGGTGTAGATATGAATGTACAACAACCATTACTGCCAACTTGACATGCATGAATTTGTGTACATGCTGGGGTAAGTGAGCACATGATGCAGAAGCTTGCGGCCGGAGAGCGGCGCAGCGGGCTCAGAAGTAGCCTGCAAGCAGCCAGTCTGCGTCTGTGAGAGTCTGTAGGAAAACCTGGAGTACTCAGCAACGATCCATACTAAACACACTATACGATACTTCACTTTCGTCCGGACTGCTGTTCTGATATCACACCTGGCAGATCATTATCATCGTCATTCATAGGCACTGCCACCCAACGAAGGTTGGTATCACAATTGGTCACTGCGAACATAGTGATGATGATACTGCCGTGGGACCCGGGAAACAAGAACTGCGGCGGCAGGACCCACACCAACAACACCATCACCAGCAGCAGCAGCAGCAGCAGCAGCAGACTTGTCAAAACCCATAACTAAACGCTCTGAAAATGGCCATTGGCCTCTGGGCATTCAACATGAGTTTGACCCTTAGCTAACTCATTTTGGCCATGCTTACACCAGCTTGTTCTTTGCGGAGTCCTTCTTGGCTAAGCTTTCTGGGCGCGGGTTAGGCTAAGAGTTGGACAGTGGCTGGGACGGTGCTGCCAGGAGTCCCACGGGTTGTTTGTTGCTGTCCTTTGGTTTTGCCGGCCATGGAAACCCACACCCATGTCACACTGACCTTCTGCTTCAATGAACTTTGATGGGGACCTGACAGCTGCCAATACATACCCGATTCTCTTGTCAACCGGGTGTGGGGTAACTGTCTGGAGCTGGGCTTCCACTGTAAGCCTGAACTCCTGCGCCCACTTGGCCCCTCAGGCGCTCCGACGCTATGAGGGCAGCTACACAGACAATATTGAGACCCTCCTATCTAGCCGCTAGCCCAATGGTCTATGGTTCGTATCATTCCAGGACCTGGTTCCTACAGCTATCGGGAAGCCCTGAACTAATCCTTGTCAACTTTCAGCATGATTCAAACCAGCAACCACGCGCATTCCCAAGCAGCCCTGCAGTAGACTTCCAATGCATAAAGTTTTCCCCAGCCTCTGGCGGCTCTGCAGCTGCTTTCGATCCTGGGTGGTATTGGCAAGGCATTCAGCGAAGAAGCGAGCTCCTCAAGGTCCCTCCACTGCTTTCTCTGAAAACTACGCCGGTGTTACTTCAGCTGAGCAGTAAAGTTCGGGCCCGAGTTACTTGCCTGTGAGAGCTGTTGACACTGGACTCAAACTTGCAGGCCCATGAGCTGGAATGGGGTCTCTATTCCGCGATCCTCACATAACTTGATAGTACAGCTGCCTCAAAACAACCAGAAAGCAACCCAACATGGAGAAAGACCGAGCACACCACCTGAGGCCTTACTTGCGAAGTAACCGTGCTCTTCATCCTCCGGAGGGGTCTTCGGACAGAGCTTGAGTTTCTCCTGTTGTCATTGCCACTGCGCGATCCCCTTGTGAGCCTATGCACATCGAAACGCCCAGCCCAGCCTCCCAGGTCATGTCCTCTATGCATGTGGTTTTTCTCACCACCAATCCTTTTTCCCTTCCTTCCCTTTCCTCCTTTTCCCTGCACCAAAAGCATGCTCTCACGAAAGAAACCCGCAGGCAAAGAAAGCACTCCCGCCTTTGCAGCTCAAGCTGCCGTATTCCGACCCTCTCTTTGATGGTCTCTTGCAGCTCTTGCGGCGTAGGCCTGTCAAATGCACGTTCCCGCCGCCTGAGCACTTCCGTTTCCTTTCTGGATGGCCTGTTGCCAGGATCCTTCTGGTCCATCATTCGTTCGTAGACTTGCGGAGTGAGCTTCCTGAGACCCACAGGAAGGCCTTCCATCCTCGTCCCCGTGTGGTGCCAGGAGCTGGGGCAGCGGCAGCTCTTTCACGTCGGCTGTCACGTGGTAGAGCTTCGGAGCGATGTCGTGCTGGTTTATCGCATCCTGTAAGCAGAGAATCTCAAGTGCAGGACACAAGGCTGAAGTACCACGGCTGCAGCTGTGTGGGGTGCATTCGAGACTTTGGAAACAAATACCACCATCACGCGGGATGCATCAGCAGTCTGTCCCATTGCAAGCTGCCAAGAACAAATCATTCGACGGCACTTGAGGTTTCGCAGCAGCTTTGCTGACTTTCTGAGAGTTGGTCTTCCGAGGGGTCTTCGCGCACATCCTCAATGGACGGGATTGGCATCCGTCGCTGCATGCTGTGGATTTTGTTCAGCGTCAGGTGAAGGTAGGATGCTTGTCCCTGAGGCCGGAAGCCTGAGTAGACTGATTTAACGGATACGCCTTTCGCACATAAGTATTTCCTGGGCTCGCCGGGCAATTGGACCAACATGGGTGGAAGTGCTTGTGGCGCTGGGCGTCTTCTAGCAGAAGCTGCGCTTGCATACTGATACAGCTTCTTCTTCTTCAACACTGGCCAGCCTGAAGGACGGACAAACCTGTTTAAAGTTGGAATGCCAGGCTTTAAGTGCGGCTGGCTCAAAACTCAATTGTGCTTCCGAGGTGTCCAGCAGATCTGTGCTGCAGTCCAGCAAAAGCGTGATTTGGGACAACTCCTCGAGAACCTCGACTTTGCCGCCACTGCAACTACTGCGCTGACACTCCGACCCAATGCTGTCCGCGCGATTCAGCGAAGTGCATGTCAACTTGTTTCGAGAGCTTTGAATGCTTGGATCTTCAGCCTTGAACTGGGCATCTGCATCCGCTATCAGCCAGCAAGTGGCAATTTGACGAACTGCTGCCTAAGCCCTAAGCTAGCCAAGCGCTTCGGCAGCGCAACATGGAAAACATCAACTGGAATGTGCTGCCCGCTCCTTTCAAAGCCAATCGCAAACATCGCGATGTGGCATGGTCATGGCTTCCCGCTGTAGAATTCTGCAAGGGAATCCTCAAGTTTGGTGTATCCCTAGTCCTCGGTGATAGAGACCGAACATTTTCTTCCAGTCAGGTCTTCCTGCCTGCGCAGGATTTGTTGAAGACAACTGGGGGGGCACGTGGGCATTGCCGTCGGGAATCAAATTTCCATCGCAAGAGCCGCTTGAACACGCACTGAAAGGCGGACACGAGTGTATCAGAGTCCTGCGCTTTGATGGACGCTTCAATCCGCTCGCGATGGATGTTTTCCGTCGCCATGGGGATAACGATGCAAATCAATCAAAAATGGAAAGTTTTTTGGGTCCAGAACCAAAGGCTCAAGGCATCATAGCCACAGGTGATCGCAGTCGACATCAAGCATCCTATGAGGCAAAGGCCTGATATCAGAAAGAAAAAATCACGATTCGGAAACACGACTGCCATGATTATCGGGCCCCGAGCAAGCAATTCGCTTTTCATCACCAGGTCGTCTTCATCGGAAAAAATTGCACCAAACAAGCCCACGAACATTGCAGCATGGGCCATGCCGCAGGTGATCCTGGCAATCTTCAGCGTTGCCAGCATGGCTTCACTAGCAACAAGCAGGAAAACACCATAGCCCAAACAAAGACCCACAAGCCACATCGCGGTAGGAAGGTCAAAGTGTCGCCATGCTTGAAACATCTCGCAGCCTATCGGCACCAGCTGAATACGCACGAAATATTTGCAGGCAGTGAACAATGACCTGGCAAAAATACTGTCCAGCTCTAAAACATCCAGCTCATTGGTCTGCTGTTCGAACTCCTGCATGTAAGGCTCTCGGGCGGTCTTCCTGGCAAATCCCAGGGAGAGCCTCGCCATGCGAACAACAAGTGGGGAACCGCAACGACACAAAGCAAGCCCACCGCCACCAAGGATCGTTGCAACGTGTCGTCAAGTGGAACCCATCTTCCCAAGCTTTTCGCCCCATGGGCAACACTATGTCTAAAAGTCTAAAGCGTCAACCAACGGGCAGACAGGGACAGGTGCCGCAACGCTCAACATTAAGTTTAGGATTGATATCTGCTACGCATGAAGAATGCGTGTAAGCATTATCGGTCTTCTCCAAAAAAACTAGCTGCTAGGGTTGGGTTCCGCATCATTGCATCATGTGCACGTGAGCATCCTGCGTCCATCTCCGGCCGCGCATCACCTTCATCAGAAGGATGCCCAGTGAGAAGACGTCGAAGGAGGACGCAGGCCTTGGAAGATTCAGCATGAAACGAAGCCAACACCAGGCTGCATAATCTCAGGTGGAGGGCAGCCCGAAGTTCCGCAGCTCTTTCGTTCGCACCTCTGGCGGCGCCCAGTCGAAGCGGATGCGCTGATCCTCACCCGCAGCCATGATTCGTAGAACTTAAGTGAAGCTAAAGCAAAGCCAGAAACCAGAGGTAGACCTGAGCTGGGACACATAAAGGCATGTCCTTGGTGATACCCTGCCACGCACAGCGGACTGCAACGTTGGGATTCTTGGCCTGCCAGTCATCTGCCTGGCGCAGTCCACAGCAAACTACCTCGTCCTACCGGTGAGCAGTCTTTGATTTGGGTTTGCGCACTGAATGAGATAGTGGAGGTGACTGGAGGGACAAGGACCAATAGCATCACGCAAGCTGGAGACCCTACATCCACCTTTTGCACCCATGATCCAGCGAGACTTCTTTCAAAATGCAGCGAAGCAGCACAGATCATGAAGCCGAGGTCGATGACCTTTATCTTGCAGCCCTTCCCGCGACCCACAAGGAAGATGTTGCAGCCTCGAAGGTTTGGGCCCCAGATTTCTAGGACTCAACGAATTTGTTCTTGGATCCTTTTCTCTTTTCTGCTTGGTTGAAAGTCTAGCACTTCAGGGTCTTTGGGACGTGGGAGTCTCCTGGCTGCATGGGCCCCGATGCAAAACGCTCAAACATCCATCATCAAACTCTTTCGAGAATCCTGGGGCTTGCACCCCCGTTTTCCAGCTCAAGGGTCTGCTTTCAGCCCCTTTTCTGGCTTACAGGCTTCTCTCACCACCCCGAGGAGCGCAAAAGCATGCAAAAGCTGGCCCGTCCTTTTTAAGAATTCTGTGGGCTACGCATTGCATTGGGGTCTGTCTCCTTCTTGTCATGTTCTCTCCTCTCTTGGGAGGGGCTGCTCACCCGGGGCAATTAGTCGTACAGCCCGTGCCTCGGAAGTCCCGATGCAATGCGTTGAACTTGGAGAGGTACACCAGGCTCTCCACACAATACCTGCAAACCACAACACAAAAACAGAGATTTTCAGAGGCACACGAGCCAGTTTATGACACCCAGGTGCTTGGTGATGGCTCGCTTCTCTCTCCAGTCCATCGGCGGGTTGATGTCAAACAAGTTCTGAAGAAGCTTAGCTTCGTTGTGATCCAAATATTCCATGACCACCTTTTCTGGCACCAGAGAACACGTGCTGTGGGGGAAAGGTTGCTGGGGTGCACGCATAAGGTTCTTTCGCTAAAGTTGGCTCGAACTCGTAATTTCCCCACCTCAGCGCCGCGTGACCCTGGGTCCTCTCTCAAATTAGGAAGTAGGAAGGGTCTCAGGCACCTGCTCGAAACCTGGATGCTCAAACTTGCGCCTCAGCAAGTGGGGCTTCAGTGCATTTGGCAGGTCCAAGGAAACTTCTACGCACAGTTCACACCCCTTCTCAGCTCCCTTACATGGTGGCATCGAAGTCATCACAATCATGCGCAGCAAAGCCTGCACTGTCAAACGAAGAACATGCGTTCGCACTGCTAGCCGAAATGCACAGGCTACGGAGATTAGCCGTGCATTCTGTGCTTCAATGGCCAAGGTGCCAGTGTGGTCCTCGAAGTAGCGCACAAAGAGGCCAGCACCTGACAAAACATAGATCTTCGATGGGCTGATCGTCCTGCATTCTTTTGCCCAGCTTGCGCGCCTTCTGCTTTGTACCGTTTGTCTTTCGGGTTGTGGAGCCGCTGGAGCGACCACTGCGCTTCGCGATGCAGAGCGTAAACATGCCGGTTCCGGTTGGTCACCTAGCTATGAAGTGACAAAAGCTCCCACTCTGCAACGGCTCACGCAACGCTCTGCTTGAGGAGATCTTCTCGGCTCAAGTTGCTGCAATCGAGGTGCCGAGGGCAGGTTCCGAAACTTTGACACTTTGATGGCCACCTCGCCCAGTGGCCCTGTGACCTGATGCCGAGATAACCTACATAGGTCACATAGGGCCTCGCGCGCTCATGTTCTCAAAGTGAAAACCGCGATGCAAACCAAGGCCACTGCATCGGTCGCTCGGTAGACCACTGCTAGGCCGCCTTCTCCCAGCTTCTCCTTATCTTATCTTTCATCTTGCCGTAACATCTTGTTCTCCATTCCGCAGTTGGTACCACAAATGACTTCAGCATTTGGGCCAGCATGTCTACTGCGGTCATCAGCTGTTCTGAGTTGACTGTGTGCTGACAGCAAAAGTGGTCATAGGCTCCACCGCGTGCGCCAAGCATCCTCGTACTGCCAGCGCCCGGTTCTTGTGATCGGGTCGTAGGCCTTGTTCATTGTTCATGGGACGTTTGCGACATCATTGGGATTATTGAGCTGGTGGAAGGCAAGTTCATGGGATGATAGCAAGGCTGACATAAACTCGCTTCCGGGGCGGGACTAATCATAAAGCCAGTTCGCTGCGCATCGGCAGCTTGTTCAAAGTATGCACGCCGTTTTGCATCGAGGCATTGCACGCCAAATGACAAGGGGTGTCTCTTACAAGGCCCCAACAAGAAAGACTCGCCAGTGGAAACTGCTGCAAGGGGTAACGGGTAACGCAGAACAGCAGTCTGATATTATGCGGTGAAGGATGGGCCAAGTAGCATCTGGCAGCACAAAGTTCACGGTCAGAACCTCGCATCTCACATTCAGGCCAAGGCATTCTGCCAACTTGCTCCTGAGGCCCAGGCCACCCGCAGGTCTTTGCCGTTTTTCTTCTGCTCTTTGAAAGGAATGGCGATCTGGGAGCGATGCTCGACCAGCTCGTCTGCCGTCTCCTATGGCTGATCTGCACATTTTTAACTGGCAGAAAAGTTACGGTAAGAGAAGCTTTGCGCCTTGACTTCCTTGTAGGGCCGACCGGCTTCGGCCGCGCGGAAAGTCCTTATGCCAGTACCTGAGTGTTGCCACACGATTTGAAGCACAAAAACACTCTCAGGTACGGAAACTTGTGCTCATTTTGGAAATCACCCAAGCAACTTTGCTTGGATAATGCTGGCTAGCCAGCTGACAGCTGATGCAGTAAATCAGTCAGCAAGGCGCAGTTCCTGGACTCATTCTGCAGTTTGAGGATTACATCTTGGCCTCGGAGTTTTTTGCATGGATGCCATGATACCATGGACCCCGCAAAGCTGTTGGCTAAGGCTGGTGCGACTCCTCGTCCTCAGCTCATGAAGGGCTGGCAGCAAATTCGTCAGGGTGTTGGCAGCCAAGTTGCAAGAGGAGCTTGCAATGCCGATTGGACACCACAGGATCGTTTAGTCGCACCTCGAGACCAGCAGTCGAGTGCTCATCTTTTGCCACCTGCATGGTCTTGCTGTTCCCCCGAAGCTTTGCAGCCATGAGGCGGTGCTGTCGGAGGCGCGGCCAATAGTGATGCAACAGCCATCTCCGATCAAGGTGCGAGTCCAAGTCTCACCCCTGGAAGGTTCCAATCTCCTATCCCCCTTCACGCTTCTGTCTGTGTCTACCTCACTCTCCTACGCTTTCATGCAGCTTCGGGACGTGGAAGTCTCTATCACGATAGGCAACGCCAAGTCTGCTTGTTCCTCACCAACAAGCAGGCGCTGTCACTCCAGGACTGAGGGGCAGTCCACAAAAACCCCGCCTGCTTCGGTTCCGCAACAGCATCTTGCGGCTGGGGCGCATAAAGCATTGCTCACCCTACATCCAGCTTCCTTCCTGCGCGGGCATCCCGCAGAGTACACCATAATATTGCCAAAAAACGAACATCATGGTTGGTTTGAAAAACCATAACTACAGAACTCTTATGTCCTATGTTGCATCATACGTATTTATAATACTAGTAGACATGATATAGTTGAAAAACTCTTTCAGCCCATCCTAACAATTCTCTTCCAAGTGGTGCTGATTTATACAATAATCAGAATAGCTGTAAAGATACCTTTGATAAAAGCACAATATAGCACAATAATAGCCAAAAAAGTGAAATCTCATTAAGTAATCGAGAAGTCTGAGTTGATATGTAAGAAGTAAGAATGAACAAGAAATGACGTGCATGTTGCTGACATTGATGTTTCATGTTCTGATCTTCTTGTTGCTGCACACTAGTTGATATTATCGGATGATTGTTAGTTTTTTGTGTGTGCTGAGTAGTGGGGCTGAATAAAAAAAGGCTGCGTAGGGTTCTCTGAGGTTCGGGCAATAGCTATGCTGGGGATCGTTTCCCGTCTTTAGAGCCCAAGCTGCAGGCGGAAGCGACTTCGTGCACGCCACCGGGACGGAGCTGAAGCACAAGTGCAGTGCTAATCCCCTCCTCCAACAATAAACCCCTCTCTCAACCTAATCATAAACACAGTACCGGAATGTATTTGGGGGAATAATTCACTCTTCGAGAGGCCGGGGAGGAGGTTTTTGCTTAGGGCGATTTTATGTCATGGGCACGCGACTAGGAATGTCATGCGACCAACAGGTGGATCTTATGTCGACGTCGCGGAAGACAACCTATGGATTCTACAGCAGTCCCCATTAGCAGCCCTGATTTAGGCTAGTGACTCACGCCGATGCAGTCCAAGAGGCACGTCGCAGCATGCGAACCACAGTACCAAAGATGCAAAGGATGATCAGGGTCAGGGTCAGACTTCTTAACCGAACGCAAACTCTGAATTTGGTCGCGCAGAC